GAAGGAAGGAAGGAAGGAAGGAAGGAAGGAAGGAAGGAAGGAAAATTTAAAGAGTGAGTAAGAGAGATGGATGGAGGGAGGGAAGAAAGAAAGGATTCCTTCCTTATTTCTTCCTTCCTTCCTCCCTCATTCACTCTCAAAATTCCTTCCTTCCTTTGCATTCATACTTGAAATTTCCTTCCCACCAGAGAGAGAGAGAGAGAGAGAGAGAGAGAGAGAGAGAGTGTTCAAGGCAGGCAGGCAAGAAGGAAGGAAGGAAGGAAAGAAAGAAGGAATGGATTCTGGGATAAGTGGAGGAAGGAAGCCCATTTATTCTAAAAGTAATAAAACCAACAAGCACCATCCCATCTAACTCAACACCCCAAGACACCAGGTTTTAAGGGCTCTTTCAAAGGGTACCAGAAAAGTTTTAAGAGAAACAGTCCCAAGAGGAGGCATTGCCACAAAGGGGAACAAACCCCCCCCCCCCCCCCAAAAAAAGAGAGTAGAAGGACAACAGACATTGGGGGAAACAGAGGAGGGTCTTCTGCTGTTTATTACGGACCCTTCTTGACCTCCCAGCCTCTGGCCAAGCCGGCTGCCCTCTTTCCTGCCCTGGGGGGGGGGGACAGGAATTCCAGCTGAGGCGCCCTTACCTTAATAAGCAGCTCCCGGCTTAACGAGTGATTGTTGTCGTCCGAAAAAATTTCGGATAATTCGTGGAACATGCGGCAGCTCTCCCTGCAAACGAGGGAACAACAACAAAAGAAAAGTGAAAAGAAGAGACTGGACAATCGCTTGTCTGAAATAGTATAGGTTCTCCTGCTTGAGGAGGGGGTCAGACTAGAAGACCTCCAAGGTCCCTTCTAACTCTGCTATTCTATTCTATTCTCTATTCTATTCCACATTTTCTATTCTATTCTATTCTATTCTATTCCATATTTTCTATTCTATTCTATTCTATTTTCTTATTCTTATTCTATTCTCTATTCCATTCCCATTATTATTCCCATTGTTCCTATTCTAAAAATATCCTCATCCACATCTTTCTTCAATCCTGCTACCTCTCTTTCCCTTGCACAGGTAGTCCTTGACTTACAACAGTTCGTTTAGAGACCGTTCCAAGTTAAAACAGCACTGAAAGTAAGTGACTTAAGACAGTTTTTCAGACTTACGACTGTTGCAGCACCGCCACGGTCATGTGGTGCAAATTCGGACGCTTGGCAACTGACTTGCAATTATGACGGTTGCATTGTCCCGGGGTTGTGTAATTTTCCCTTTTGCAACTTTCTGACAGTGGGGAAGCCAGATTCACTTAATGGCATTACTAACTTAACAACTGCAGTGATTCACTTAACAACTCTGGCAAGAAAATGGGGCAAAACTCACTTAACAACTGTCTCACTTAGCAATAGAAACCTTGGGCTCAGTTGTGATTGTAAGTCAAGGACTACCTGTATAAATTTGCTGGCTGCACTGAGATCTGACTGTGATAAGGAAACTCCGGCGGTTAAAACCCCAACCAACCCAGCCAAAAACCATCATCCCTGACCTGAAACAAAATTAAGGAATAGTAATGAAGCTCGGGAGCATCAAATTCTTGTAAAAACTTCTGCAAATAGGCAAACATAACTCCCATTTTTTTTCTCCTGCAAGCACGGACCTACAGCTGCAGTTTAAAATACACAGCGCTGCAAATTGCAAAACCCCAACAGAAGGCAAACATTTTGGTGGGCTGAATATTGAAACATTTCATTGCAAAGGGAAGTCAATGTTGTTGTTTTTTAAAATGTTGATTTCCCTCTGCAAATTAAATGTTTCAATATTCAGCCCACCAAAAACCTTGTGAAACATTGTCTCCGGGGGGGAGAAAAAGGATTGGATTTGACAAATAACTATTGCAGGCTTCCCATTTTGAGACTGGCTAGTTTTGTTTTCAAAAACATTTTCCTCCGTGGGCGAAAGTCAGCTAAGGGGGAGATTCAATCCTTGAGAGATACTTAAAATTGATCACAAGGCACTCCAGTTCTCTCCCACTAAAAAATCTCCCTTAAAACTAAAGTTTCCACAATTCCATCCCATTGAAAATTCCACTTGGCTACCAAACCAGCTTGCAAGAGGATAGAAAGGAAATTTTCGGGGAACCTAAACACAATCTACCTTTCATACTTTTCAATACAATTTTCATTCAGGCATTCGTTCGTTCGTTCGTTCTAAACGGAGATGGTTAAAGAAGCTTCGGTGGGAATTCTCTTGCTAATTCAACCATTTTGAAAAGGTTGGCCTTAAACCAGGGTTGGATACAGGCGCCCATCCACACGTGTTTTCCCCCCCTCCGACTCACCGCGACACCTCGTCCCAGGTCTTTTTCAGCCTGTGAACTGCGTTGCACTGGAGGGCAGAAAGGATGGCGCGGAGGGAGGAGAAATTCTTGAGGATGCGGCACTCCTGCAGAAGGGAAGGGGGAAAAGGATGGATGTCAGCAGCTGCTCGGATCTCTCTGTGACGCATACAGGAACACGGAAATCTTTTCCAAGTTCTTGTATTGCAAGTAAAACTCTGTCTATATCTCTCATCTATCTATCTATCTATCTATCTATCTATCTATCTATCTATCTATCTATCTATCTATCTATCTATCTATCTGTATCCGCTTTCCCCATCTATAATCTTGATCTGCCAACTTACCTATCCACCTATCTTTTCTTTCCTTCCTTTGTTCCTGGTCCCTCTATTACCTTTCTTCTCCATAATCTTTATCTATCTATATCTCTAATCCATCTTCTCTGCCAACAATCTTTCTCTTTTTCCCCTCCGTCCCTCCCACCCTTTCCTTATCATTATTCTTCCTTTCTTCTATCATCTGTCTTCCCTATAATCTCTCTCCCTCCCTCCTCCCGCCTTCCTTCCTTCCCTTCCCTATCAACCCTTTCTTCCTTCTTTCTATCATCCATCTACGTGTCTTCTCTATAATCT